CTTATTTAAGACCATATCCTGCAATTGAAAAATAAAATTACCGAGTTTCAGAAGAAGTTGCACTTATGAAAGAGAAAATTAGAAGATTAAGAAACTTACTGTGTCCCTTTTTTACAAGGTGTTCTACAAAAAATCGATAGAAATCCTTGATCTCACTTAAAAAAATATGTTTACACAACACATATTTTCATTGAGCGAACATTCTGAGAAATATTTTCCCGAAGGTATGGAGCAATATGACTGGGCCAGAAAGCCTTTCCTGTCACCCACGCCATCAACACTTTCAACAGAGGAAGAAGAACAACTGACAGAATTGTCCATTCTGTGATTCCAGCCTAAAGCTTCAATACGACAAGGACAAACTTTGAATTTTGGAGCTCACTTTCTCATGAATATCATGCCATCAGCATTGCTGCATTAAAGGTTTTATTACCATTTGCGAGTTCGTAGGGGAAAGGAGGGCAAGATGACGATAGTAAGCTTAAAAAAATCCTAGAACTGATATTTTTCCTTATATCGAATGCCTGCAACTACAAGGTAATTGGCTGATAGTAGTACTTTACATATTAAAATTAGATTACGTAAGGGTTAATATTTCAAATTAAAATTTTAAAATTTATCTACCTATGTCATATTCGTCATCTTACCCATCGTGGAGGGTAAGATGACTAATTGTGAAGGGTAAGATGACGAGGTATGCCCTATTCTAAGAAAAAAAGTCAGTTATATATATATATATATATATATATATATATATATATATATATATATTCAGTAAGTAAACAAATTAAAGTAAAATGCATTTATTTTGTAACTAATGCAGCACTTGTAGTAGGTCCTACATTTTTAAAAGTACCAATTACACGTCCATTGTTTTACCTTTGCTTCTTGACTATCCATTCCAGTGCATTCATCGTGAGCCCATTCCCTATACCTGCTGCAGCAATACCCTAGCTCATCTTTTCCTCTTTCATTGCAGATTATGCAATCACTTTCTTCCTCTGAATCGTTATCAGTGTCAGCATCAGTCATAGTTATTAGCAATATCATCAGTTATTTTTCTCTTAGTCTTTTTCCTTTGCCTTTATCGAGAGTGAATTCCGTATTTTTTGCTGAAAATTGCTGAAGTCTTTGCTTCTATTTCTTTTCCAATTTTCTTCTGTTCTGTTATATCTCTTTTCCTCTCTTTTGCTAATTTGGAGCTTCCTTTTCTTCTAAAATCTTTACTATTGGTGTACTGGAAATAACGAGACATGGTAATTTCTTTCTGGGTCGTTTTGCTCTCACTTCAGCAACAAGTAATTTAGGCAGACCATTATTCAATATATGATTTGATACACGAGGGGGTGTCCTATCCAGCTATTCCTGATATAGATGAAACAGGCATATTTGAATAGAAATATTTAAAATTTCGTCAGATATTTCAACAGATTCTTGAGGTACTGTTTCTTTTAAAACATATATCGGTGACATTCCTTAAATATCTGGCATTTTCTCTTCGACCTTTACATTTTCCAAAGCAGAGGTAGTTGCCAAACTATTGCCAAAGATGCCTCAAAATCAAGTATATTAAACACCTGGCTATCAACAGGATATATGCCAGTGGCTCTAAAACCACTAAGAGTATTTGAAACAGTTGCTGCTTTAAGTACGCTTTCCCAAATATGGTTGCAATGTCATACAATGTTATAAGACGACCCGGACTACTGATCAAAAAATCTTCGCAAGCTCGTGAGTATGTTGCAAAAGGATTGTGCAAAGTCTTTACCAACCATTTTCTTTGTAGTGTTAAATCTATCAGCAACACCACAACGAACGGCAAAGTCGAAAGCAATTTTTCTAAACTGATCCGTGGTTAATCCAAATGCCCGTTTATCTATATCTATCAGATCTAGTAGGTTCTGGAATATATGCTTTTGAGGCTGCATGGGCACTTACCTGATGAGCAGGTATTTAAGCCATTGCTCTTTTTATATTTTCTTTTGACCAAGATTGTCTGTCTGTCTTTCTTTTGTATATTTTGCCCATATTTAAATCTGAAATTGAAAGTAGGTATGACTTATTGTTAATTTTAGTTAATTCGGGTAAGATGACGAATAACTCGTCATCTTACCCACAAGTGTCATCTTTCTTTCTAAAAATCGTAAAGTCAAATTTATTATTCATAACAAATATTTTCTGTAAGTAATTTATACGTAAAAGATATTAGTTTCGAACAAAAAATACAACAGTTATCCAATACTTACCAAAAACCTTTAAAACCTTATTTTCGAAAACAATAATATTGTTAGCACTAACACAATATCAGTACCAACACTTGTATCATACTAAACTCTGGCCGCTAACGTATTTGTAGTCAAAGGCGAGAAACCTTAGAATATCTGTTCGGTCCTGACTGAAGACAGTGTTGCCAGAGTTGTACGTTGGAAAAATATCGAGAATTCGTCATCTTACCCGATTCGTCATCTTACCCCACTTTACCCTACTTATGCGAAACGGGGTTTTCTGCAGTTGCAGCAATTAAAAACAAATATAGGTCAAACAAACACTTAGAAAAAGAAATGAGAGTGGCAATTTCCAAAGTAGAGTCCGTAGTAGTCATAAGCTGTACTCAAAAAAGCAAGAACATTCCTTACATTAACCAGCCAGTTACATAAATAAATATCCCTTTTCATTTTTGTGTCTATGTTTTGATTTTGTTCTTAATTTCTAATCAAAAATATAAATGTTCAAATAGTGTTTTGTTATAACTATAACCTGTTACTAAGCTAGTACTAAAATTGGTAAGTATTATTGGGGGTTGTGTTAGGGAGCGTCGCAAAAAAAATAGCAAAGTCTCAAAGGCGTCACAGTACGAATAAGTTTGGGAAGCCCCGCTGTAGTTATTGATTCCTAAAGATTTTCTATTTCGTATTTTTAGTTCTGTAATTTCCGTAATTCTTTTAATTTTTATGAGCCACAGCACAAAAATAGTATTTTTATTACGTAATTTTTAATTTCAATATTATAATATAGCTATAGAAGCAATGGCAGCTATGTACGCCGTTGCTCCCGCTTGGCGGCGCTAGTGTAGTTGAAGGTCAACACATTTTGACAATTCTTTGGGTTTGTATGGTATTTTTGTTGTAATTATTGCGATTTAATAAATTATGACAGAAAAATAAGGATCTTGGTCTATTTGCGACTTAATCGAAAAAAGGAAGACATAATCGAAAAGTAAACTATATAAATCATCGTCTTAATGTTTCATTGGTTCATCTCAGACCATAGTAGAAATTTTTATATTGGTCTGAGTATTATAGTGATGTATTTTTATTTGGATTTGAACTAGTACTGTCATGTAACTAAAATATGGTAATTTTAGCTGCCTACCGTACATTAAATACAGTTTTGTGCTGCCTTAAAACAAAACGCATTATAAATTATCACTTTTGATATATGTATGAAAGATATTGTGTCGCTGACTGAAGTTCATTGCTTTGCCTGTCTAGAAACTGCTTAAGGATTGTATATTATATTATAGGTAACTGATCGAAATAATAATTTTCGACATTACATTGTATGGTCACTAATGTGGATTTCACTACTCTTCAGAAAATCCTCTAATAGATTTCGTCGACATAAATATCTATTTTCTATATATTTATAAGTTAGCAGAAGGAATGAGATGTGTATCGCAGTCCACAGAAAGAACTACAGTATGATGCAAAATATTTTTTTGTTAGCTATTGGTCAATCAAAAACAGATGAATATCATTTTTACTGAGCGCAAGTTAACAGTGAAATGGCCAAAGTACTTACATACAATGTAAAACTGATTTCCATGGATGAAAGTATTACTGAAGCATTATTTTAATGTATTGTTGGAAAGCGATACAGAGCATTGTGCTGTTGCGATGCTTTACTAAACCTGAAAGATCTTTGCAAATGATACAGAAAAGATACCTGCACTAAATAAAAGCAAGTTGAGCATATGCCAAAAAATAGCAGACTGGAAGTATCGCCAAACAAATAAATTTTATAGTTCCTGTATGCAATGTGCAAAAAAAGCAAAAGACAAATGTCTGTTATAATCCAAGACCACAACAATACAGAAATATGCCTAATTTTAATGATAGTGTAATCAGTGTAACTACTAACCATTTCATTAGGTGTGGACTTTTTATTTCATTTAACCATCCTTATTTAGCTGCTTTTCATGATGGACTTGTGGAATATCTAACTGTGTGAAGTTAACTATCCCTATTCAATAAAAGATTCAATGATTAGTTCTGATAGTTTTCCATATTTAGAAATAAAAGATGAATTATATTTGAAATTAAATTCAAATTATTATAATCAAGTGCAAACTCAGATGTTAGTCACTTGTCGTGAGTTCTGTGATTTTTTCATCTGGACAAAAAGAGAGATGAGATGTATTTCTGTAGGTAAAAATTATTTAATTCATAATGAAATAATCCCTCAAACCAAAGAGCTTTTGAGTAGTATATGGTTATAGCATTGGCTGAAAAATACTATTTCTTACCAAAGTAGATAATCTTAATCTCTGTAACAAAATAAAAGACAAATAAATAGTATTGTATGTTAATTTTATTAATTTTTATCAATTATATTGCTCCAAAAATTTGCTAACATAAAGCATACAAATATTATCCTTTATATATATAATATTTAGTTTATTGTAGATATGAGTAAACGCATTTTTGTCGCACATATTTATCTCTTCTTATTGCCACAATTCACTTTTTTCTCATGAGATTATCTTTGAGAAACCTGTGCTCTGATATTCTCGATGAGAACAAAACAGCACAACACTGAGCATCATATTATCCCAAATTAAATCTACACAGCGAAATAAATGCAATATTTACTAAAAAAATATATAGATTTAAACAGTTGACGTGACCTCCAACTATACTAGCGCCATCTACGTTGAGCTTTCCAGATTAGCTGTCATTAAGGTTTAATTAAAGTTTGTACATATTTCTTTTTTATTTTAGGACATAATGGATAGGACAAAAGCTGAACAATTACCTATGATGCAGATCAACTTTATTGATTCAATATGTCTGCCAATATATGAGGTAAGTATTTTGATGTCCAACTCTATATTTTGTGTTTATTAGGTATTAATTATTGATATTAGTCGATCTTTACATTAAAATCATTTTTAATACTTGTTATGGTAAATTTGTTTATTTATATAATAAAATACAATTTTTATTATTTTTTAAATTTTAGTAAGAAATCCGTTTTGGATATTAAACTCCAGTTATGTGTGTATGTGCTATCGGTTTCTTTTAACCGTGGACTTAATCCATTAGCCTAAACTCCAGCTGTTGTTGACTTATTATTATTCATCAATACCTAAAATAATCTAGTGACCAATGTTTCTGAAAAATTTAAAATGCACTCTTGCTTATAGAAGGACTTGAAGCCATTCGATTCATTCACTCAAGCCTTTGGTCTAACTTAAAAACAAATACACATTGCCATGCTACATACAGGGCGGCATTAGTGCGAGGAAGACCAATCACTCATTTGTCGTAAGAGATGCAAAAAAAATATTTGGGTAAAAGTTGAAGCATAGATAGGACCATACTCTTAAAATATTTTCAAACATACATGGTCCCCCATATTGACGGGGTGGAACAAATATATTTTTTAATGGAACATTCTGTATATTTTTCATTTTTGGATTTTTGTCTATGTTCTTGTTTTTCCAATATAAGGTTTGGCAGTATTGAGGTAGCCTAAAATATAATTACGCTTTTTGTATTAAGTTCGTAGCAAAATTAACACCCTGTATAATGTAGACATTTAACATTAAAAAATATATTTATGTTCAAAAGATTTTTAATAAAGTCTACTATTGTTTAAAATTATTAACATAGCTAAATAGTTAACTTTAATATACAGGGTTGGTTGAAACTAGGGCTCAGAGTGGGTATTTTCTGAGTTTCCTTAAATGGAACACCCTGTATTGTAATGAAATTTTACCTCATGATACTTCATTATTTATTAAGCATTCCCAGCAAACCAGTTTCGCTTCCAGCATGAAGATGAACAAACTGAGATTCTTTTTGGGCTGGAGCTTTCAGTCCAGTAGAGGGCCCTTTTATGAAGGCATCTCGTGGATTCTTGATTGTCGTGTCCCTCCATTCCTTTTGGAGCACTGAAGCACCGACGTTAGTCCAACAGTGGTATTCATAGTTGTTCACCAGGAAGAGTCGCCGGCGGCTCTTCAGTTAGCGAACACTCCTTCGAGATTTCATCTCCTATTTCATAGTCAATCCTCGTAGAACCGCTAGTGGGCGATCGGTTACTTACTACTCGATATGAAAACGTAGACGTATTTGATGACAAGGATCTACAGACCGAGAGTGTCTTATAAAATACACGGCTTCACGCAATCGTACTTATGAACTAGTCGACTGGAGTTACAATTTGCCAAATTTAAATGTAATCGTTTCTGCTCATTCATATTAATATTATAATGTATAATATATTAAATCTTTTAATATTGGTAATATTATTAAAGCTTTTAATATTGTTTTTTAATATTAATAATAATATTAAGTAATTAAATATTGCGCCTTGCTTAAAAAAAGTACGAGATAAATAACTCGTTTTTTTTATATGAAAGTGCAATTTTTGCAAATGCTTGGTTTTTTTTATTAAGATAATACAAATTGTATGAAGAATAGCTAAGCGTTGGGTAGTAAGTGGCGAATCTTCGAGGAGGGAAAAAGGATCTTCTGAATTTGCCAATACTTTGACTGAACATACAAACAAAAAAGGATGGAATGTTGTCAGACCATTAACAATATTGAAATATAACCACTACGTGACAAAAAACGATGTAGAATATGTTGTATGGATAAAATTTGAATATGAATATTGTTTTCGCAAATACCATTTAACCAACAGATAGATTGCATTCAGTATATTAGTTTAAATAAAAATTTTATTTTCTAAAGACCTTTTAATTGTTAGCTGATGTCCCACTAACAATTTCTAATTTGAAAATATAAATATCTTGAAAACTTTCACAAATGTTAGGGATAATAAATTGAAATCCTTGAACAAAAGGCTATAGCTATAATTTGAATAAGCTGGTTTTGCCGATTTGACTTTCTTATTACGAATTAGCATATTAGGCAGGTATTTTACATAGTCACAATTCTCTTAAAGATTTTTGTTTCATTGAAAACTGAATCTGATATTAATTTCCTTGCAAATCTTTACGTATGCTAAGGATAAGAAATTAAAATCCTTCAATACAAGACTATAGGTAGGTACCTGTAATTTGAATAAGCTGGTTTTGCCCATACTGACTTTCTAATTACCTACTTATTTGCATAACAGTCTGATATTGTACCTGGTCACAATGCTGTTTAATATTAGGATTTTCATTTCGCTTGCTGAAACTCCATCCGATATTAATTTCTTGGAAATTTTTATAAGGTTGAGAGTAGATCTCGGTCTGTAGATCCTTGTTATTTGATGTTTGTTGTGTTGTGTTTAGGCTGCCGAACAGAAAGCATTTTATTGTAATATTCTCGCCCACGAGTGCCAGTGCAAGGTTAATATTTTTTAAAAGTAAATTTAATTTATATTTTAAAATGAGTGCTATTGTTGCGTATACAAGGGAGGACAAAGAAATTTTAATAGAAATTTTAAAGCAGTAACCGATAATTGAGAATAAAAATACGGATGCTACCACTATAAAGAAAAAATCGTAAGCTTGGAATGTAGTTATGAATGATTATAATGCTAATGAATTATGATGATTAATTTATCCTACCTGCAAATTTCCAGTAGCATAAAATCTCAAGGCAACTAAAAGACATAAAATTGGTGGAAACGGTAATCCACGTCGATTAATTTTCACCATTTCATCATATATTACTGGCAATATTATTTCAATAACTGTTTGTTTTCGAAATCTATACCTTTTTCTAAATTCATTATCATTATAAAAGTGTAATGGATTTTGCATGTCCCTTATATATCTTCTGGGTACTTATATATCGTTTTTTCATTTATTTTTCGGTTAACTACATAATATTGATGTAAATCGTCCATTGTAAGCGTATTTCAAATTGACGGGCGAATCGCCAGAGCGTGCATATACCTTCACTGGTGAACCTTCGAAAATCTCTAAACAGGGCATGCGTCATTCGAGTGCGAGATCACTGTGAAAGCGACTGGCGCGTATCCAGCGACATGCCAGCGACTGTTCGGAGAAAGATGCTTTACGCTTGCGTCAACCAGGCTGTAGGTCGACTATGAAACATAGATATGGTGGTGAACAGCCAGCGACGCGCTGAAGACGGACTATGAATACGAGTGCAAGACTCATCGGTATAAGCAAGGTTTACATTATCCTTCTTTCTCAATGTTTTTATTTGTCTAAGGTACTTGTGTCTTCAGGATATTATATCTTTTCTTTCCATCATTATCGAATCTCGACCTCTTTTACAATATCCAAAACTCATGTCATTTAGTAGTGTACGCAATGTGGTTTTTGAAAAAGCTGGTAGGTCCTCATCATCCTTTACTCTGTTCATTATGCTGTCGACGGTTGGTGGTATGTTTTCAAAAAAAAATCATGGACAATTATCCTTATTCGAGATTTCACTTCCTCATCGTAAGTATTCTCACGTTAATTGGACTGGAAACTGTTCTTCTTCCTTTTTTGTACCGGTTTCAGTTCACCTTGCTAGGCCTCTTCGCGGATGTCATAAATTTTGTGAACACTTACACCGCACATTTTCGAAACTTTTTCCACAGTAATAGTCAAGTTGTCACCATTTTTTAAGTTCAATACATTTAGCACCACACGTTTTACTTGCAGACTAAGAGTCCTACCCTGTTTAAAATTCACGACAGATACTGACTGGCAACGGCTCCATGTTGTAGGTACTTTCATCCGCTTGCCAAAATGAAATTAAACTGAGCTTTCATAGTTTTTGCCAAGTTTTTGGTCTCATCTGCAGTACCCGATTCGAAAAAGACATGTTTGCTTTGCGTGGACAGTGGGGATTAAAACTGATTCGCTTCTCATGATCTTTATTTCATGGCTAACCTAATAAAATTTTGCCTAATTTTCTTTTGCAATTAATGTTGGGGTCAAAAAATCACGACTAACCAATTAAAGCAGTTAGGTATAGGCAATACTTAATAAATAATAAAGTAGGTATATACCATAAAATAACATTTATTACAAAATTAAAATACATGATGTTCCATTGAAGAACACTCGGAAAATAATCATTCATAAATTTATTTTAATAAATTTAGACAATAGTAGATTATAACACTAAATGGAGTTGTCCTAAAACAAGCAGAAGAAATAAATTTCTTAGGACTTTCTTTTGAACGTAACTTAAACTGGGAAACCCACATCACCAATCTGCAAGGTTCTTGCCAATCCAGAATTAATCTACTAAAAATGCTGTCAAATACCTCTTGGGGGGCAGATACAACAACCTTACTTACGCTATATAGATCTTTAATACGAAGTAAACTTGACTACGGCTGTTTATGCTACGATACTGCTAACAAAACATCTCTAAAAAAACTTGACTACATTCAAAATATGTGCTTGAGACTAGTTTTAGGTGCAACAAGAACTAGTCCAGTAAGTAGCTTACAAGCTCTGGCTAATGAACTGCCCTTAAGCCAACGAAGAAAACTCCTATCACTAAATTACGTTGCCAGAATTTCAGCAAACAACAGCAACGTAACCTACTCAACAATCCTTAGCAGAAAAAATATATCGTCCGATCTTTACAGAAACATTGCAATAAAAAAACTACCATTTCCTGAACGTATAAAACATATTGGTCTTAATTTAGAACAGTTCAGTTTTACTATGCCTATTCATGTAAATGTTCCTCCTTGGATGATCAAATCTCCAAAAATCGACACGTCTCTAAAAGAACTCCCGAAACATTCCACACATCCTTTCTTTATACAGCAAGCTTATAAAAATATAATATCCGAATACCCAACAACCCATCAAATATTCACTGATGCTTCCAAATGTGATGAAGGACATGCTGCAGCCTACATCTACGAAAACGTCAAGTCTACCATACGAATCCCAACAAATTGTTGTATATATACCGGAGAACTCACGGCAATTCACCAGGCTATGAAAAAATGTGGTTCTATCAATGAAAGCAAATTTGTTATCATCACCGATTCAATGAGCGCATTACTTGGAATAAAACAGCTATATACAACTCACGCCATACTACTCAAGATCAAAGAAGAGTTATCTAATCTACAGAGTCAACAAAAAGATATTTCCTTCATCTGGGTACCTTCCCATATGGGAATAAGTGGTAATGAGGAAGTGGACTCTCTGGCAAGCAATGCAACCACTGACCAAAGTATTCCTATCATAAATCAAATCCCTTGGACTGATCACAAAGTTAATATCAAAGCCCACATGTACAGGGCGTGGCAAACTACTTGGGATCATACTGCCAACAAACTTAAAGAATGTCTAAGTCAAGTAGGAACTAAACTCATCGTACCAAATAATAGAAAAGACCAAGTCATTATCAACCGACTCCGAATAGGACATACTTTCCTTACCCACAAGCATATCTTCAACCAGGAGCCTGCTCCGATGTGTAACAAGTGCAACACTCAGTTATCAGTGAAACATATAATTGTTGAGTGTCCAGTGTACCAGAACGAAAGAATCGCGTGTGCCCTTAGTGACAATTTAAAAAGTGTACTAACGTCAAATTTACAGGCTTTATTAAGTTTTCTTAAAATGACTAAACTATATACGAAATTGTAAAAAAATATTTTTTTTTTCTATGTAACAATATGTATCTTACTGTTTGTGTATGTCCCCCTGCTAATAACCCTTAGTGGTTGATGCGGGTATATTTGTTTAAATAAAAAAAAAAAAGTAGATTATATTAAAAATCTTTTGTATATAGTACTTATAAATAAATTTTTTAATGTCAAATCTCTACAATTCTACAGGGTGTTAATTTTGCTATGAAATTAATGAAAAAACGCAATTATCTTTTAAACTACCTGTTAATACGGGTTAATACCCTGTATATTTGAAAATATTTTTAAAGTACGGTCCTATCTATAGTGCAACTTTTACCTGAATTATTTTGACCAATGAGTAAATAGACTTCCTCGCACTAATGCCGCAGTATGTTTTTTATCATTATTTTTTGTCTTTTTTTCAGGCCTTTGCTGATCTTTCAGATAGTCTGCATCCCTTACTCGATGGCGTTAAACAAAACAGAACGCATTGGCTCGAAGAGGCACAACGAGCTCATTTGGTTCCTGAGATAAACGAACGCCAAGAGAAAGACGACAATGACAATTTGTCAAAGTCCAGTAGCAGTTCCGATCAAAAGCAAAGTCCGCGAGAGAAGAACTTTCAAAAAATTACCAATTAGTATAAAGAATTTAAAAGTTGTATATATTTATTGACAAAGATTATTTATTAAAATATTTTTAATGTGAAGACTTAACAGACCACGAGGTTTTATATTATGGCTAATTATATATTTATTAAATAAATAAATTAAATTGAAGTGTACAATCTTATTATTGTTTCGTTTAAATTATTTAAGGTAATACAAAAGACAAAAGGACATAACGCAGCCAGAGGAACGGAAAACGTGAGAGATACAGCGGCGGCCGGCCAGGTGAAGTAGGTGAAGGTGAGGTTCACCAACAAAATATAATTAAATTGAGACTAGTGAATAAAAAATAAAAGCAACAATATTATATCTAAATTCTGAAATCAATTATTTATTCCTTTTTAATTAATCTAAAAATTAAAAAAGACAACTAGCTTTATTAGCGGTATGTACTTAACGGTCAAGTTCTGACCTGTGTCACTAGCCCTGTATGATTCGGGAATAGGTGAATATCATTTTTGAAATGCGAAATCCATCTGCATAAGCGTTTACGGTTGCCATGGCAACGTGACGTCAGCCTGTCGTTAGTGATAGCTGAGAAAACTGGGAAGTGCAGATCCATTAAAAATAAATTATCCGTCTTCGCCCACTATTATACTTCCTATTTTTCGGAAATTTCTCTCAGCGACAATATTTTGATATTTATTCTATTATATAGATATTTTTTATATAGTTTTGTTTAGTCACAGTATTACGTTTATTTGTTTAGTGCACTTTATTAATACAGTTCTCGTGGATTTCGTTTGGACAAAAATAATTTTAGACAGACATGAATCCAATTAATGAATATATTAGAGACTCCGTTTAGGCATTGGAAAAATGAAGATAAAAGGGATGTTCTTTTACATGGTCGACCAACCAGTATTTTAAACATAGGACTAAAAAAGGAAGTTAAAAAACAAGGCAAGTCGTATAATATTAATTTTAAGCCTTCTTGGTTCATAGAATTCAATTGGTTGTGTAGTAGCACAGCGTTAGAAAAATTGTATTGTTGGCCATGTCTCCTCTTTTCAAATAAACAATATGTGTGGAATAGAGCCGGTTTTGTTGATTTTTTGAATATTAATAGATCGTTCCATAAGCACGCAGATTCTGGAGAGCATTTAAAAAACCAATGAAGGTTTAGAAATTTCGAACAAAATCAAAATACGATTGCCGATGCCTTAAAAGAAAACGCTAGATTACATAAACTAAATTTTAATGAAAATGTTCGACTAAACAGGATTTGTTTGCGGACAGATATTGACGCAGTTTTGTACATCAGCAAACAAGAGTTGTCTTTTAGGAGATATTATAGGTAATTTTAAGGAGTTATTAAATCTGTTAATTATTTAAAGCCCTTTGAAAACTAAAAATCATTACGAAAAAATTAAAAATGTTTTTAGTGGAGAATCAAAAACAATTCAAAATTAATTAATTGATTCCATTTATAAATTAAAAACAGTCATAATGCAGATGTCGCAGTCTTAAATAATATTAAGATGCGTAAATTCTCAAAATTCTCAAGGACTATTAATTGAATTAAATTACATGCCCCACAAGCAATTTTTGTGCATTGTCTAGCCCATCGACTTAACCTTGTTTTGCAACATAGCTTTAAGAAAATATCAAAATGTCGAATTTTTTTTTGCTACTATTACCGGAATCCCATCGTTTTTTCATAGTTCAGCAAAACTATCGTATGCTTTTGCATCTACATCGTCTAGACGTATGCCAACAAGTACAGAGACAAGATGGTCGTCTAATTCATTATTAATCAGTGTAATTATTAAAGACTGGGAAAAATTAAAAGAGGTTTGATAATATAATGAATTCTGAAGAGTCAGATCGCAAATCAGTTCAGCTGGCTAAAGGGTTTTTAAGAATTTGAATTTTAAGAATTAAATGATTTTGAGTTTACATTTTTAGCGACATTTTTCATATAACAGATATTTTATATGATGTTCTTCAAAAAAAAGTCTCTAGATATTAATTTTTGTTTAAACCAGATAAGGAGAACTCGTCAATTAATAAGTGATAAAAGAAATGAAGAATTTTTTAATTCTATATTTGAAAAAGCAAGCACAATGGCGGTCATTAATACTTCCAAACGGTTTATGTTCTTCACGGTATATATGTGTATAATGTTCTTCAAAAAAGTCCCTAGATATTAATTTTTGTTTAAATCAGATAAGGATAACTCGTCAATTAATAAGTGATAAAAGAAATGAAGAATTTTTTAATTCTATTTTTGAAAAAGCAAGCACAATGACGGTCATTAATACTTCCAAACGGTTTAGGTGTGATGATGGTATGAGCAAGAATGCAATTACTACTCAATACAGAGCAATATTTTTGGAAATATATGATTATATTTTAATGGAAATGGATATACGTTTTCAGGATTGTGATAAATTAAAATTCGTACGCATAGCAGATACAACAAAATTTGAGTCATACAGTTTGACCTTCCCTTCCAACGCTTTTCAAAATTTATTTGAGTTTTATGGCACACAATTTACTAAACATCAAAGACTTAAAAGTGAGCTCTCCCTTCTTTATGCCGACGAAAATTACAAAAATGTAAATTTGCAAAAATTGGTTATAAAGTTACAACCAATTAAAGACATTGTTGTAGAAGCCTATAATTTGTTTTGTTTAAATCTGACAATTCCATCGACAAGCGTATCCATAGAAAGAAGTTTTTCGTGCTTAAAAAGGTTAAAAACTTTTACAAGTTTAAAGAAACACTATTTCACAAGATAGACTATCCAGTTTGACTGTTATCGCACTTCATAAAGAACTGTTGAATGACCTTATGCAGAAGCATCCTTTCTACGATGACATTATTGATAGATTTCCCTCCTTACAAGACCGAAGGATTGACTTGATTTATAAAAACTAGGTAAGTCAGTTCTATTAGTCTATCTAATACTGCTTTTTTTGTTTAAGTATCTCTTCACCCTCGGTTCTAGTATCATCACAATCATCATTCCGCAACGTCTTGCATCCAATTTTGGATATAGGCCTCCTCCATATTCTTCCATTGTTCTCTATCTTGTGCCATCTGTATCAAATTTCCCACTGTTTTTCTCAAGTTATCCATTCATCTTTTTGGTGGTATACCTCGGTGTCTTTTGGTCTATGAGTCTTTTGGTCCACCTATTATCATTTAAACGTGCTACATGTCAAGCCCATCTCCATTTGACTTGTGCAATTCTCTCTCTCTCTCTCTCTCTCTCTCTCTCTCTCTCTCTCTCTCTCTCTCTCTCTCTCTCTCTCTCTCTCTCTCTCTCTCTACAGTGTCTGATACAGAGTGATCGGCTGCAATCAGCAATCGGACCCAGAGTGGGAGGCTAAATCGAAACTCAACAAACCCGTTTTACCAGACGTGGTGTTTTAATTGCCAAAACTCCTTTTGGCTCCAGCAAGGTTTCCTCGTATTCACCACTTTTTTAGGCCACGAGCCGCCGCTGGAGAGATATGGTTCTTCCCACAGCCTTCTTTCAATCGAGTCATGGCTTATTCTAGTGCTTTAGACATGTCGAAAATGATTATTACATGTAATTCACATTTGACAATTACCAGGTTTGTATTAGCCAATGAATGTATGAAAAGAAACTAAAACAATATGATTTTAAGATCACAGATTATGTCAAAATAAACATTTGGGATAATATTGAACTGTTTTTATAAATCTAAGTTATCAATTTTATTTATTATAAAATGTTCTACACTTTACAACTCAATAAAGAAATTAAAATAAAATAATTATTTAAATATAAATTAATCAAGATGTGACGTTTATAACATTACATACCTTACAAGTTCATTTACATGCATTTATTTAGTTTACATAGAAACACTCAAATATTAGTTTCTTTACACTTATATAATTTATTAAAGACATTCACAGCAGCGGTTACAATTTAAATACCCGCGCGAACAATTTATTAATCGACACTTGTTTCAGACTGTCATTTTAAATGTCAAATCGTCCGTTTTTATACCTATTTTTGTTTATCTGGAAGCTTCCTCCTGCTTCTTTGACCTTCGGGCGCCAACGAATTTTATTCGACCTTCATCTGGAAAGTTTCACTCGCAGGTATAACGGGGGACCCGTGGGTTTTACCTGCTAAAAAATACTTGTTAGAAAACTATGTTTACAGCTTAGGGTATGAGTCACATTTATCGTAACAATATTAAACACAACTGATACTGATTAGCAGGAAACATCGGTTTAGTTTGGGAAAATCTACGATGACAAATTTAATAATATTTCAACGGTATACCGATTGATTTGAAAAGGGGATTGTTAAATGCATGTAATATACACTGACTTCTCCAAAGCATTTGACATAGGGAATCACATCTTGCTGGATAAGATTTTGTCTCTTCTAATTATAATTATGTGACCTTGTTTGCTAGTTTCTTATTAGGTAGAACTCAACAGATTCAGATAGGATATCACATCATATTAATATATATTATCTGACGTGCCACACAGTGGCTGTGTGTAGAAAATTAAGTGCTGCTACACCCGACGAGCATAGTTTTGTCCAACGACTACGTGAGACCATGGAAGCATTGCGTCCTGTACCGCCGAGCAACCACTCAGCCCGTACTGCCTTTGTCCATTCGGGTCTACAGACTACGAGTCATGTGTTTGTGCGGACCGATAAAGTGAAGCCTCCTCTTACACCTCTCTATACCGGCCCGTTTAGAGTGTTAGAACGAAGTGATAAGTTTTTAACTGTGGATGTCCAAAATGTTCCTCAGCGAATTTCCATGGACCGACTCAAATCAGCATATATTCCACCGTCCCAACAGGTGCAGGTAGAACATGCATATGCCAACCGTCTGATGAGCAACACAGGTACACAGGTCAACATAGCCGTTCGAAACCAGCAGGTTCCTCACTGGAGGGGAGCCCTGTGGCAGATTGACAGTTAACCTTCAGCCACACATGGGTTGACTGTGCTACCGAAGTGAGGAAACGTCGACGGAGAAAAGAAGAGGAGAGGAGAGCCAGCTGATGTCTGTCAGAACACGGATACAACACACTACGAGGCAACAACGAAAAGAATCTTACAGTTTTCTTACTTGTTTTTAGTATGTAGTTTATTGTTAATAAATCAATAAAACAGTTTAAACTGTGCCCAGACTACCTTGCTCACCGCAAACAGGTCACAGTATCATGTATATAACCTATAACCTTTTTTTGTTAATACTGTCAATTGTCAATCTGTCATAGATAAACTGTCAAAATACTTGCTTCTCTAGCACCTTCTAGGCTTCTATCTAGGTCATCGAGCAAAAAGACAAAAGAGGGAATGTAAAGGTAGTGGGGGCAAACATATTGTTAGACAGGAAGTGCGATCTTTAGAGGCCACATTAAACAAGGAAAGAGAGTCTCTCTCCTTGTTTGCCATCAAATTTAGTTGGGTTATGTTATTGTCTCAAATGTCACATGAAATCTTATTTGTATTGAAGTTTTTTAACAATTGTGTCGCATTTTAGACTATTATCATTAATAATTAATTAAAACTTTCTCGTCTAAGACACATTCTGAAAAATATTATATAGCTACTGTTGATAAGTACCGGAAAATTTAAATTTGGCGCATTCGCATTTCGGGATATGTCCGCCATCAGAGGCCACTTTTTTGGTCTCCTTTTCATAAGGATTAGATTCCCTCTTTTGTCTCATTGCTCGATGATTTAGGTATACTCGGTTCGCTATTCCCAGTCCGAACCGTCTAGTGAATTTAGTAATTATTTTTTTGCGAAGTTAGTTAATTTTTGACAGACTAAAAGTGGCTGGAAATTATTATACAACCAAGCATACGTACTCATAGCCAATATTAATAGTAAACAAACTGAATAGTAAATAAAATAGAACTTTGCGAATTACCAACAATCAATATTTATTTACCTGCACCATATAATAAATAGTTATGTTAAATTATAACAAATAAAATATATTTTTTAAATATACGACCCAAATTTTGATGAGTTTAGTATACACTTCACTATTTAGAATAATTCTTCTTTCTTCAAAGAAAGAAGTCTGCAATAGTAGTATACTTCAGCTATTAATACTCAGAAGTAGGAATTGTTGTGTTTAGGTTTCCGACAATGAATCTGTCAAAATATGCCCGAGCTAAGCGAATGGAGTTTATTATACTCAACTGGAACCAAATGTTTTATCAAAGAATATAGACGTCTGTATTCTTTGGTTTTATCAAAGAATATAGACGCTTATAGAAGAATTTTTCACTTCCCGTTTAGCAAGTTGAGAAAGATTGAACAGAGTTGATCGCACGTTACAAAAAAGAAGGGAGGTGGATCGAGATGGATCGAGGTTTCACTAGGGAGCGGTCATGTCAGCGCTGTTATTGCTTCTAAAATATGAAAGAGTGGGGCAACAAATGCAACTTAGATATTTTTATGAGATGTCGCGTGGTCGTAGAAGAGGATTAAATTTTTGCATTTTATAAAAATTTTTAAAGAAAAGAATATATTTTATTATTATTATTATTTATTATTATTTTAACTTTTAATAAATTAATCTTTTTAAAAAAATATGACTCAAATTTTTAATTCAAATATATACAAAAGTATAAATAATATAATTAAAACTCTCTTCTTATAAACTATAAATAAAATTAATTAAGCGGCAATCACCGGGAGAGAAAGCTCAAAAAATTGTAAGGTGTTTCGATCAAAAAACAATTCCTGATCTTGTTAGTACGCTAGAATTGCTTTTAACACATACACCAAAGAATTATTTTTTATATTGTGAAGTATAATTTCGGATTTTTAAATTAAAAAATAAGTAAGTCTCAAATAACTAATCAATTGCAGCTGGGGCATAGACCATAGCAAATCCTTAAACATCCAAATCAGCAACACCCGACGATAAAATGAGACTTGGGGAGAATAAAATCACCCCCTTGTAATAGAGTTGCTAAGAAATCAAAGTGTAGGTCATAAAGCACCCTGACAACAGACACCACCCTGATACTCAACTAGATCGGGCTCAAGCAAATTTGATCATTAACAAACTAGAGCAAGCACTTGAGGCTCCTATCTAAGGTCAAAATGAACTCCTGCAGTTCCATAAAACATCGTTTAGCAAAGGGACTCTGTGGGTGAACTGTGTTAACGAGTATACAAAAAAATGGACGACTGAAGTGGTGAAGACTATTGAGGGCCTGTGGGAGAGAGTAAACTTAAATATAATTGTTTCAATAATATGCCTAAGCGCCCCATGATCCTCACCCGCGACCCCAAGAAAAAACTTGATGAAGGACCCATCTAAAAAGGCAAAATCAAGACCTTAACTCAGAAGACTTGTGATCTCTGTTCCACATACTGAACGACAGTAAAGATAAATGTTATAGAGGGAGGAGTTATGGAGATAGTTCTCAGATCAGCATACCTCCTATATCCTATCTACCTCTTTTTCTTCTTCCAGGCGAATTCATCTGTGAAGTTTTTGGAGCCAACGTTAGTCAGGCATTCTCAATAGGTGTCCAAACCATTTTAAACTTTTTTTTTCTATTCTGTTTCTGTAGCATTCGCATTATTTCTTATAGATTCGTTGGTCTTCCTTCCAGCCTTGATGTTCTAGCACTTTTTCTCAAATAATCCATTTCAACTGCCAACAATCTTCTCTTCAGGTCTGCATTAATTGTCCATACTTCAGAGCCATAACAAAGAACTGATTCAACCATGGTTTGCCCTATTCTTTTTTTGTTCCTTTGGACTTACTCTCTGATTAAGGGTAACATACTGCATCCTTGTCTTAGTCCTTTGGTTACTTTTATTGGCTCTGATAGTTTATTTCCGATTTTTAGGTAAGTAGTGTTATCCCTATATACTTTTGTGATTATTCCTAAAAAGTATGGACTAATGCAGAGTTGTTGTAAAGCTTGCCACAAATTAAGTCTTGGAACTGTATCATACGCTTTTTCTAGATCGATGAAAGCTAGATGTACTTCGGTGCCAATCGTTATTCTTTTTTCTATTAATTGTTGGAGTATAAACTCCAACAATTGGTTGGTTGGATATAAGTTATCAGTGCTAGATCTACCAGGCGTAAATCCACTTTGGTCTTCGCTAATTAGATGTCCTACATCATCTTGTATTTTTCCATTTATTATCTTTCTTTCAAACAATCTACCGAAAGTAGGTAGGATACGTAATCCTCTGTAGCAGTTAGGATCTTTTCGATTACCTGTTTTAAAGATGGACTCTAGGTGAGCGGTTTTCCATTCAGATGCTACTTTAATTTGTTTGCAACATTGCTTCATTAGAAAAGATATTCGTTCTATTAGAAGTAGACCTCCTGCTTTAAGTAACTCTACAGCTACATTACCAGGTCCTGGAGATCGCCCGTTTTTTATTTTAATTAACGTGGTACGGACCTCGTTATTAATAGTATTAATGTTACTATTTGTTTGTCTCTCCATTCTGTATTCCTCTCCCATATATTCCAATCTGGACTGTTGGAGAAAATTTCAATAGTGATTTTCCCACTGTTCTATAGGAATTAAGTTACTTAAGGAGTTATGAGTGTTTTATTTTAGATTAGTGATAGTTTTCCATGCTTCCGTACTCTGAGAACCACCAATTAAATTTACAAACTTGGACACATTTTTGTTCCCAGAAATTGTATTTTGCTTCTTATCTTCTAGAGATGTTGGCGACCACATTGACCTATCTTATTCTATTCATAGCAGCGCGCAATAGATCAGTTGACGTTAGATCAGTCCATTTCCTAAGATTGGCCAGCCAGGATATACGTCTACGTCCAGGGTCTCTCTTACCCTCAATCTTGCTCTGTAGAATCAACTGTAGAAGTTGGTATTTATTATTACGCATGATGTGGCCGAAGTAAGCCAATTTTCTGTTTTTTTGTGATAATGTCTTTGGCTTTTCTTAGCCTTTGGAGAATAATGTTACTTGTATGGTGTATATATGACACCCTTAATATACGTCGGTAGCACCACATTTCAAATGCCTCCAATCATTTTATGGCATCTTCTCTAAGGTCCAGCTTTCTACTCCAGCTTTCTACTCCAGCTTTCTCTTCCAGCTTTCTATTCCAGAGAAGATGACACTAAAAAAGTAACATCTAAGAATTCTTATGCGTATATTAACACTTAAAGATAAGTTGCAGAGAATCTTCCTAAGGCTGTTGAAAGAGCTTCTGGCTTTTTCAATACCAGTTTTTATTTCGTAGCTATAACCCAAGTATCCTTAATATTGCTGCTCAAATTGCATATTTTTTCCACTCTTTCTAACGGTGTATCGTTAATTGTAATTTGGGCGTTTATGCCGGTGTTCTTACTAATGATCACTATTCTTACATGCTTCTACAACGTTATCCATCATCCTGCGCACTGTCTGCCAGAGACACTGTATCGTCTGCATATCTAATGTTGTTTGTGTTGGCCATTTACAGCAATCCCATCTTCTGATTCGTCTAAGGCCTCTCTAAAGATGTTTTCAGAGTATATGTTAAATAATGCCGGTGACAATATGCAACCCTGTTTAACTCATTTTTCGACTGTGAAGATCTCGGGCAGTTCATTTTCTAATCGTATTGTTGCTTTTTGTTGTATATATAAGTTTGAGATCAGTCTTATATCCTTATCATCGAGTCCTGATGTTTTTAGGATCTCGATTAGTTTCTAATGTGGGATTTTATCAAATGCCTTCTCGAAATCAATGAAACACAGATCGCAATTGACATCCCTGGCTCTCTGTATTAGTATTAGTGTGCCTGTAATAGACTTAAAATTTCACCATGCACCTCACCAGGTCCTGGTGATTTTCCATCTTTAATCCGCTTAATGGCCATAACATCTTCGTTTGTTATTTCTGGGTCGTGGGGATTGTTTATTTCAGTCGGACTTCGTGCTGCATCTTCGAATAATTCTTGCA